AGAGGGGATTCTTCTCCTGGTAAAGACAGCACTGAAAAATGGAGAACCAGCAGAACAGTTGCAGAAGATGATGGCTGAGTTCTACAGATTAATACCTCACCGGCATGCAGCAGCCAGAGATATCAGCCTGGGACTGTTAGCCCAGAAAGAAGACCTGTGCCAGGTAAACCTCAGTAATAAGGGTTCCACTTAAAGTGGCAGAAACACATCTTTAAAACTATGATGAATAAGGGTAACACTGAATCATAACAGTTATCTCCAGAGTTGTGCTCAAAACTAGTGCCATGGGTCCTTCCAGAAGTTATCTAAACCTTACTCCCAAACATAAATGCTTTTGCATAGTGACACAAATGCAAAAATCTTTTTTTAAATTCTGTGTGGTAAAAATAATTTTCCAGGTCCTGTGATGAGTTGAGATATTTTTCTGTTGGGAACTGGGGAAATAGCTCAGCAGCACAGTACCTGCCTGGCAAGTACAAGGTCCTGAGTTCAATTCCCAGTACAAAAAAAAAAAAAAGAAATGGTGAACGTTTAAAGGGGGCTGTTTTGTTTTTGTTTTTGTAGTGTAGACCAACACATGCTAGACAATTGATCTTTCCTGAGCTGCAGTCCCTATACTAAGATTTTTAACAAGTAGGAGCACATTCTAAAATAATAATAAAAATACCTATGTACAGTAAATATGTAAACCAGTACCACAGTTGCTTATTATCAAGTATCATGTACTGTTCATAACTATTACTGCTATTATTTTATGAACACATTTTAATGGTACAAATTTGTGGGGTGTACTGTGCTATTTCCATGCATACATACAGTGCACTGATCATGTCCTCCTGTCCTCTGCCTAGGCCTCCTCTCCCTCACTTCCTTTCCAGGCCCTAAAAAGTCCCTCTTAATTTCTCCATGTCCTCCCCTCCCCTTTATGTTTCCCTATCTCTAGTCACTGAGAATGGCTACCATCAAAAAGATAAGAAATAAATGCTGAGGACACATAGAAACTCATCCATACTTGGTGGGAATGTAATGACTATAGCCATTACAGAAAATAGTATGGTGATAGACCCAGCTGTAGTGTTGTACACTTGTATTCCAGGTGCTTGAGAGGCTGAGGCAGGAGGATAGCACATTTGAGAATGGCACCTTGGACAATTCAGAGACTCTAAAGTAGAGCACTTGGCTCACAAAATACGTTTTGGGGTCAACCCTCAGCACCTAAACAAAAGAAAAGAAAAATACAACTACCATATGACTTAATAATTCCACAACTGTGTATATGTCCAGAGGAGACAAAATCTTTATAGCAAAGATACTTTCACCTCCATGTTTATTGCAGCACTTTTCCTAATAGCCAAAATGTGTTGTTCTGTCATCCACTTGGCCATGTACTAGGCCATGTTTATACCAGCATCCCCAAGCATATGTAACATATTGGCATACAATATTATGATGACAACTGTGACCCGTTAGGTGCCAGACATTTTTAGCTTCGTCATGGTCTTCTGGGGCCACTGGGGTCAACCCTTAACCACAATACTATGTAGTACATGGCTGCACCACACCTGATACAAGAACATACCTTTTTTGTATTTAACATTTTTATTTGAGACTGCAAAAAATAAAAACAACCAAACAGTCAAACAAACAACATGAAATAGGCTCATCAAATAACAGTCACCCTTTCTAGCAAAGCAGAAGATAGACCAGTGCAGGTTATCCTCAAGGCCACGTAGATCCTTCTTCACTGCTGCTTGCACTCTGCTGAGTTTTGATCCTTCTTTGGGTCATAATCTGGGTCATTTTCCTCATCTCCTTCTTACCCTTCCTCATCTACTTCTTCACCTTCTTCAACATAATCTTGGTTATGGTTGATACATTATGTCAACTTGAGTCTGGAGGCTTGGCTAAGTGACTCAGCAGTTCTACATCCTGGGGTGAAAAGAACATGCCCTTCCTGCTCTAGGATGCTTTTTGGTATTTATCCTGAGCATGTGCAAGAGGAGGGCTCTGAGA